CAGAGGGACAGGAAAAATGCCTAGTATCTCAGTAAGTTTCCAGAAGTGTCTGTTTCCAAAAAAAATCTTCTGAAAGTGGTTGTAAAAAGGGCTTTCTTTAGGGGCGGAAGACATGGGTGGCTGCCCCGGGGAGCCTGGTTCGTAGGGGCAGCAGCCAGCAGGGGAGGACAGGATTTCTCCTCCCCTGCAAATCCTCGTGGGCCCCCTTATGTAAATATTATAAGTCAGTAATTATGTAGAACAGAAATTCAGTTGTTGAAAGGAAGGTGTTGAGACTGTCCTCCTACAAGTCAGTTTCAGGGGAGTAGCTGTGTTGCTTCACAGTAGAAGAGCAAGATTCGAGATTGGTAGCACTTTCAAGACCAACAAGGCTGCGGTTGCAAACGAAGAAGAATAGGAAGAGGAAGAAGAAGAAGAGGAGGAGGAGGAGGTTGGATTTATAACCCACCCTTCACTACCCAAAGGAGTCTCAGAGTGGCTTACAAACTCCTTTCCCTTCCCCTCCCCACAACAGACACCCTGTGAGGTAGGTGGGGCTGAGAGAGTTCTGACAGAAACTGTTCTTTTTCAAGAACAGCTGTGCCAGAACTATGGCTTGCCCAAGGCCATCCAGCCAGGTGCAAGTGGAGGAGTGGGGAATCAAACCCGGTTCTCCCAGATTAGAGTCCGTGCATGTAACCACTACACCAAACTGGCTCACCAGGGGAAAATGAGGATCTTACTCAGTCAGGGTGCACCTTCTTTACGCTGCCAAGTCACAGAACTCCTCCTTCCTCTGTGGAGGGCCCCATGGTGCTTTTATTTGTGACTGGCATGAACTCCCCCAATGCCCAACACAGTGAGACTGGTGCAGGATTTTAAGTTCATTTGACAGCAAAAAAAGGGGGATGCTAGAATGCCTCGTGCCACCAGGAGAGGGTGCCTTCTGCCCATGAAACCAGAAGAGAATAATTTTTTTTTTACAGAATAAAAATTAGCTTGATAAGATTTGGCTATCCTCAAACGACAAATTAATTCAAAAACTATATAGACTCTTCTTAGAAGAATATATGCAGGATGAAATAATTAAAACAAACATGATTGCGTGGATGCAGGATGTAGGCCACAACATCGAGATAGAGGAATGGCCAAAATTTTGGAAAACATTAAAATATATGAGGGCTATATCCTATAAGGAAAATATTTATAAGATGTTTCATAGATGGTATTGGTCCCTGGACAAAACAGCGAGATGTCATATCAATGCATCTAGTAATTGTTGGAAATGTAAAAGGAACGTTGGAACTTTTTTTCATATGTGGTGGAGGTGTAAAATGGTACAAAAATATTGGCAGTTGAATCATAAGGTAAAACTTAGAAATACGAAATACTAAATATAAATGTAGTGTTAACACCAGAAACATACTTGTTAAATATTATTCCAGAAGGATATCAGCTTCATGATGTATATTTACTGACTTATATCCTAACGTCTGCTAGAATATTGCTGGCTAAATACTGGAAAACAGAAAAGATACCTTCCAGAGAGGAGCTAGTGTATAAACTGATGGAAATAGCGGAAATAGATAGACTATGTTAATACAGAGTCAAGATGATATCTTATATTTTAAAAGATGGACTAGAGTGTTTAAATGGATAGAAAACAAAATGGATAAATAGACTCCAAATGTATAAAATAACTTGTTATGAAGTAATGTACATTGAAAAACCTATAAATTATTTTTCTTAAAAAAGACACCCTGTGAGGTAGGTGGGGCTGAGAGAGCTCTGACAGAAACTGCTCTTTTTCAAGAACAGCTGTGCCAGAACTATGACTTGCCCAAGGTCATCCAGCAGCTCTGAGTGGAGGAGTGGGGAATCAAACCCGGTTCTCCCAGATTACAGTCCACGTACTTAACCACTACACCAAACTGGCTCTGAATGATCCATTTTCAAAATAATACATTTTCAATCCACTTTCAATCCACTTTCCAATTTGAAAGTGCATCGAAAGTGGGTTATTTAGTGTGTGTGACCGCAGCTCAAGATTTCCAGGGTCTAAGCTTTCGAGAGTCAAAGTCTCCTTCACTAGATACAAGTAGGAATGGAGATCCCTGAGCCCTTATAACATCAGAAGGTGGGCAGGGTGTTACAAAGAAGGGAGTCAGGATGCAAAGGTACAATGCAAAATGTAATAATTAGAGCAGGGGAGAAGTGCTTAGGGGCAGACACTTAGCATCTGTAGTGAGACAAGAATCCTGTGTTTCTGTTTAGCCCCAGGAGGTCCATTGTTCTGAATTTGGTGAATGAACTAAAGTTCAGCAATTTCCCATTGAAATCTCCCCTTGAAGCTTCTTTGTTTGAGGACTGCCACTCTTAGGCCAGCAATGGAGGTGTTCTGGAAAATTAAAACATGCTCCCACTGATTATTAAGTGCTGTGATTTTTAGGGTCAGATTTGCTCTTGCTCTTCCTCTTTTCCTCCTCCCCCACCCGTCCAATTGGCCACGTTCCCCTCCTTCCTTTCAGCCAATCCCTACTCTTTGTTTTCACCAATCGTACAAACTGAGGGGCCAGGGTTTTAATGGTCCAGTGTCAATGGTTTTATTATGCCAGAAGCTTTTGTGCACCAGAACTCACTTCTCCAGGTACATAAAACGAATCCTCAGTCAAATATGTATGTGTACACAGAGAGAGCGAGTACAAGGGAATGGGTTTCAAAGGCCATGACATTCAAGAGATCATCTGAGACTTTCTGAGCAGATGTTCTCAAAAGTGTGCCAAACAGGCATGCTGATTAGTCATGACAGTGCCTGGCAGTGACAGCACACTCTACCTTCTTATGTCCAAAAGTGTGCCAAACAGGCATGCTGATTACTCATGACAGTGCCAGGCGGTGACAGCACACTCTACCTTCTTATGTCAAATAGTTTAACGACTAGGGTTGCCATCCCCCCCCCCAGTGGGGGCAGAGATCTCCCGAATTCAGGGGCCCAATCCACCGCTGGCTAGCTGGCCGACAGGGGAAGCCCCACCCCCAAACAGCAGCATCCCGCAGGAACGCTGCCAACTGGTAGTGACGTCATCATGCTATGGGCGTCGTGCGGCAATGCTCTAGCATTCGAGGGGGAACTCTATGGTTACCATAGAGTTTTTGCCCCAAATGCTAGAGCGTCACTGCACAATTATTTGTTTGTTTATTTATTTAATTCGGTTTATACCCCACCCTCCCCGCCGAGGCAGGCTCAGGGTGGCTTACATAAGATTTCGTATAAATACAATTAAAACCCAGCACAGAGAAACGTAACATAAAATAGCACAACATTCAGTTAAATGGCCCTAGCATGATGACGTCACTACTGGTGATGTGCGCGCATGGCAGAAGACTCTAGGAGAGGAGCCAGGAGCCCCCCCCCCGCCAGACAAAAGGTGAAACCTGGCAACCCAATTCACGACCCTCGTGGTTAAGCATCTCTTGGTCTTTAAGGTGCCACAACAGACTAACATGGCCACCCCACTGATTTCTAAAGCGGTGTCTTACCAGAGCACAGTTTTATTCTGGTCCACCTGATGTTGGTGCACAGCTGGATGTTAGTCCATTTCAGTGACTCTTAGAATTCAAAAAGGTTGTAGCGGGACACACATTTCTTGTTGCTTTTATGTGGCATGAAGAAATGTAGGTGTAGGGGCCTTGGTGGGCCAAATGACCTTCCTAAACAACAGGGGATAAATCCTGTGGGCAAATCCAGGATCAAAGACATGAGATGGGGTATGAGCAGTGTTCCCTCTAAGCTGAGTTAGTGTGAGCTAGTTCACAGTGCTTTAGCCTCTGGCTCACACATTTTCATCTCCACTCAAGAAGGATGGCTCCAGAGCAAACTAATTTAGGCAGTAGCCAAATGGCTCGCTCACAACTTTAATGCCAGTAGCTCACAAAGTAAAATTCTTTTGCTCACAAGACTCCACAACCTTAGAGGGAGCATTGGGTAGGAGTAGCCAACGAAAACACAGTGACCTTTCACAATGGCACCAACTGGGGAGAACACAATACTGCTAGGCTAATTGAATCCTGAAGCAGGTGAGAAATACCTCGCCTTTATCCAGAATCTGGTGGGTCCCCTTGTTGGCCTGAAGCAGCAGAACAAAGTTTGAGTCCAGTGGCACCATTAAGACCAACAAAGTTTTATTTAAGGGTTGCTTTCATGAGCCCGCACGTTCCTTCCAAGACTTAAGCCAGTTTGGTGTAGTGGTTCCAAGCCAGTTTGGTGTAGTGGTTAAGTGCGCGGACTCTAATCTGGGAGAACCGGGTTTGATTCCCCACTCTTCCACTTGCACCTGCTGGATGACCTTGGGCAAGCCAGAGTTCTGATAAGAGCTGTCCTTGAAAAAGAGCAGTTTCTGTCAGAGCTCTCTCAGCCCCACCTACCGCACAGGGTGTCTGTCGTGGGGAGGGGGAGGGAAAGGAGTTTGTCAGCCGCTCTGAGACTCCCTTGGGTAGTGAAGGGGGGGGTATAAATCCAATCTCTTCTTCTTCTTCTTCTTCTTCTTCTTAATTGTGTCTGAAGAAGTGTGCGTGGCGTGCACACAGAAGCTCACCTTGAATGAAGTTTTGTTGGTTTTAAAGATGCCACTGGGCTCAAACTTTGTTCTGGCCTTCATCCAGGCATTTATGAATACAATCATATCTCACAGCAAGGGATATTTTGAGAGGTAAGCACCGGATGTAAAGTCTTGTAATTTAATACCCATTCCTTCTCTGCTCTCCCCCCCCCCTCCTGTGGTGTTTCTCGCTCTCTCTCTTCAGCACGTCAAAGACATAATCCTCCAGTCTAACCCACGGCTAGAAGCTTTCGGCAATGCCAAGACTGTCCGGAACAACAATTCCAGCCGATTTGTAAGTCTTTGCAGTAGTTTGAGGGACTCTATTTGAGAGTCCACCTCTGGGTGAAGATCTAGAGAAGAGAAAGTTGAGCCAAAAAAACCCTGGGAGTATCACTCTGGCTTCTGCTGCAGCATTTTGCAACCCAGTTTGACATTTCCCTGTTTTAATAAAAACCACATTGTTCTTTCCTCGCCTTTCAGTTCGGCTTTCAGAGCACAACCCTGTTGGGTGGGGGAAAATATCAGAGCTGAATCGTTGCTTTAAAAGAAATGCTTCATTTAGCAGCCCCCTTTAAAAGTCACGAATTCCCAGCTGGGTAGCGTAAAATCAGCATTAACCAAACATCAGGTAACCAGTATTTAAGAAAATAAATATAAGGGGTTTGGGGGGAACGCTGCAGTTTGGCAGGAACAAAGAGAAAGTGAAGCATGTGCTAGAATGTGCACTTTGCTGAGAGACGTTTTCAAATTTTCTTTAAATTCAAGATTCTAGCTCCTACGCCGTGACCCGGATAGCCCAGGCTACTCAGATCTTTGACTGTGGGCGGTTCTGCATCTACTAGCATTCGCTCCATATTTTCTCAACTGGGAGGGAAAAGTGCAGCTTAAAACCACATTCAAACGGCCTCGGGGCAATGCCGTACTGACTGCAAAGTCACCCCTAAACGGCCACAAATCTATGCAGAGGGTACCATAAAAACTCAAAGAATCCAAAAATCAAAGGAAGCGAAAGTGGCCTGGAGTGTGGAGGCTACCATAAATTGTGATCCAAGGAAGCAAAAGCAGCATGCCAATGCAGAGGGGGATTTCTGTTCCAAGGTGGGCTTCGTAAAAAGACGGAGGGAAAACACACACATTACACATTGGATTTCTATACCGCCCCTTTCCGTAGACTCCGGGCGGTTTACACAGTTTGTACAGTTTTTCTAACCTAGGGGCACATAGACAGGGGAGGTGAATTCCTTACCCAGGCACCCCCTATTTTCGGCAGGCTCTTCTTTTCTTCTTAGCTTTTCCCACGGCGGTTCTTGCTTGGTGCTGGCAATGTTTTCACTGACGCAGGTCTTTCAGGTCTTGGCTAGACGCAGTGCTAGAGCCAGTGCAGAATCAGCCTGTGACAGCCCTGCTGAGTCCTTGGGTGGGAGGCCACCAAGGAAGTTCAGGGCTGTGATGCAGAGAGACGAACCACCTCTGAACATTTCTGGCCTTCAGAATCCTACAGGGTTGCCAAAAGTCAGCTGCGACTTGAAGGCAATCTCTCTCTCTCTCTCTCTCTCTCTCTCTCTCTCTCTCTCATCTCTCCAGAGGTCATTTTGTAGAAAAAGAAGTGCAGGAGCTCATTAGCATAACTTATTTGCATAACATATTTGCATATGCCACGCCGCCTGACATCACCGGAAGTGTGTCAGAAGGCAACATCCACCGCTCAGGGTCCACTGGACTGTTTTGGATTGCTAGCTATTGGGGAGGGGGGACATGCAGATCTGTCCTCACAGAGGAGGGAGACCTTGTAGCTGAATAAAACGTGGTCTTAAAGGTGCCACTGGACTGTTTTGGATTGGGGGGGGGACATGCAGATCTGCCCTCACAGAGGAGGGAGGGCTTGTATGTGAAGGTGGGATGGGGGGGGGGTC